GTTACTACATTAAATCCATGGTGAATGTTGGCGACTTGTGGATTGAAAAGCCTTCTGTAACTAGTTAATTCATGCCACAATGTTTCTCCTGGTTTCCACGCCAGCGCTATTTGATCTGATATCTGTGGTGTATAACAGAGAATTTGAATGCTCCTCACTAGATCTCGCTGAGATGTTAATACTCCGTTTAATTCAAACACTTTCTCACTGGATCTCCCAGCGCTGCGTAGTAACGTCGTCACGTCATCGAGATCGGCCCACGAGTAAACCTGTTCTGAGCTCGCGCTGCATAGCTCAAATGAGCAGCGTGGTTTTGTTCTGCTTTCTTTCGTTTGGCATTTGATTGTTTCTTATATGCAACAAAAATGACAGCTCTTATCAGTTGGGCAATGTGGTGGTTAGGGTTGTAACGGTATGGCGGTTTATCACGTTATTTACATGTACGATTATCATATCGTGAACATTTGCTTATCCACGGTTTTCCTTGAAGATGGATATCCAGATCCAGTTGTGTCCAGAAATGTGGATGAAGAGTGGCTGCAAAAGGAGGAAATACGTCGAACATGTTCTCCCATATTCGCCAACACCATCCCTCCGTGCAGATTAAGTTCCATTTAGAACTATGCAGGAATTCCGTTTTTGTCAAACAGCGACCCCTAGAGTCGCTGTGGAGTACTTGTACTGTCGTAAATAGCACTCACGCAGAGATGGCTCGCACTCACGGCCGGATCCCCTCCCCCTGTACACCGGTACCTGTTCAGTAGGATGGAAGCTGTAACGAGTTGAAATAAGGTGTGGCCCCTTTAAGAGCTGCGCGCCCTGTTTAACTGTCGGCAGTCTGTTTTGTATGTGCGCCTCGAACACCACATGTATACGCCGCCGGGTTATTTCTGTTTGATGTTTATTTTATCAGAATTTTATCAGATCTTTTTTGCCGTAAAGCAAGTCGTTACATCGCGAGACCTGATATCACGCGACACTTCCTGATGCTGCGGCCGGCGGGCCGCCGGCTCAAAGTTGCAATTGTGTTTTTTCCGCTCACATGCGATAGGGGGGTGCGAAACGACCACCATTCAACCCGAAAAGAGTAATATAACCATTCCAATGACTCCGAAGCTGTTCGGTTGAGGTAAAAAACCTGCATAGTTCACCTTTAAGGCCGTATTATATTCGTGTTGCTGAGGGAATTTACAATGTAACGCAGATTTAACGTAAAATGCGTGATTTGATAAATGTATGAATAAATCTAAAATATAGCTGTGCAATAAATCAAATCGCTTTATAAGTGTGTCTATTAATATACATCGCAAAAAACTGTTATATACTGTAAATCTATATTTTGCTTGTTCTGCATGTCTGCGTGAAAGAGCAGCGCCGTTTCGCCTAGTACATACTCGAGGACCGTATGTGTGATGCTCATGGTGTTTAAAGCGTCTGCCGTCTCACTCACTATATGAGGACGTGAACACACAAACATATCCAGAGCTGCTCTGAGAGAATTAAATGAGCATTTCATCATTTTATTTAAAAGAATCCTCGTCAAATACACTCTGACTGAAACTCATAGGAGTTTAGTACAACCTGTCAAAATAAAAGTTTGGTTTGACTTAAAGAAATAACGACTGAAATATATTACTATTGTACAATAGAATGTAGCCAACGTAAAGTTATAACAACAATAATAATAAAGTTTATTTAAACATTATTTAAGAAATAATAGTTTTTTGTCTGTTTTAATTTAGTAAACCTCTGTTGTGTCTGCAGACTAACAAAAGTTGTTACATTTCATCGGTTTGCATTTTCAATAATATATTTGTATAAAATCATAGAATCCAGACATTATATCAGACAACCAAAACAAGGAAATAAAATACATTTCATAAGACTATTATCTTATAATTATCTTAAATAATAATTAATAAATTAAGAATAAAAATAAGTTAAGGTTTTATGAATTCAATTGCTTAGACATGTTTGTTCAAATGGGAGATATGCAGCTTTATTTTTTCAAAAGGTAGACTCATACTTCCATAAGTTTTTTTTTCCATTAAAAAAGTTTGTTTTAATAAACCATATGTTCAACCAAAAAACCCTATCAGTTTTCATTCATTTAAGGGTCATTGTAGCTGATGATTATAATACTAATGATCGTTTAACACCGTATACCGTCATTCTGAGACTATTATCATACCGTGAAAATCTCATACCGCTACAACCCTAGTGGCGGTGGCACCAGACCAATGCGACCTTTAACAAAATGTAGTCGCACCGGCAAGAAAAATGGTCGCAGTTTGCAGCACTGATCTGCCAAAATGCATAAATGTGACCATTTCAGAAGAGAAGGATTATTGCTCAGGAGTCATACTACTCTTTGGAGAATTGTTCTTTAAAAGATGATTCTGTGAGGAAATGTGATCTGAAAAATCTACAGAGAGGTTTGGAAAATTTGAGTCTGGAAAAGTATGGAATTTTGAAATGGAAAATGTGCAGAAACCCTGTAGCTATAGAGAACAGGCATTAACCAGGCAATATTTTAAGAGCATTTAAACAGTGTTACTCTTATTCATGCTGCATTTTTCGCATGGCAAGATGGCGTCCTCACCTGTGTGGCATGTTATTCTTCTTTGTCGGTTTTAACTAATTGCAAGATAATTTGGTTTTCTGAGAATTTGATTGTCTGCATGTTGCCTCCACCCAGCTGAAACTTAATTTTGAAAATGTTTAAGGTTAATTAGATGATGAAACTCTTGATGAGCTGTTTGCCATTATTAATAGAAGGCAAGTCCTTTTGTTAAAGACTTTTATCTTCAAGAATAAGGCCGATCTGGTAGGGTGGCACGGTGCTGTCTTTATGAACATTTTGTCTAAGACATTTTTGTATGTTGACACATTTGTGTCAGCTTCAAATTGGGAGGTATGAGGCGCTGACACATTTGTTTTGTTTAGTCTGATACCAATCCTTATTTGTTTGTTTGTTATATCTCCCTCATAACATGTTTTTGTAAGCTCTCTGCTTACAGACACTTATTTAATATACAGCTATATTATATAAATATATATATATAAATTAGTTAGTTAAAACAAGCTGTTGGTTAAATTAGTGGTCAACCAATATTATTTTTTGATTGCTGATATCTTAGATAATGTAAAGCCTGCACATGCATATGTATATATATTAATAAAATAAACGCATGCTTTTTTGTAGCTTTAAGGATTCAACTATATTTAATTTATAATTTATGCAGTGCAGAATGTTTGATAACTTTTCAATATTTCCTACACAAGTAAATATAACATTTATTATGGGTTTATGTGAGGATTGTTTTAAGTTCACTTAATTTAATAGTTTTATTTTTTTAAGCCTAATGTTAAAAATAAAATGTATAGCGTTCAATTACACTGTAATGTTGAATGGCTATGATTGTTTAAAATTGGGACAAAATAATTTTAGTATCAGTGAGACTGGCCTTCATTCATAAAAAGATGCCATTAAACAAGTATTTAAACTACACTGTCTTTATGTTGTTTCTACATTAATTTGGAGATTTAATGGTAAAATTATTACATTATAAAATATATAAAAACGTAAGTGTTTTTAAATTGCGATTAATCACAGAAAAAATTTGAGATTAATCTAGTTAATTGTTTTTCAGCGATATACACATGTATACATCTGTGTGTGTATATACTATACACTATATTCATTTGAATTAATATTTAATAAATTGGAAATAATTGTTTCATTTAAAGATTTCTTTTTAATTCATTTTCAAACTGACTTTAGATGGCAACTTCTTGATTCTGTAATCATATTACAGTATTTTTCACAAATAAAGACTTTTTATTCTTTTTTTTTTATATATATACAATAACAAATAAGTAAACACTGTAACCAACAGGGCACTCAGTAGGGTAATCTGGCTAATAAAGTTTGTGTGGACTGGGAATCATATTTTTTTCAAATAAAGACAAGGTAACACTTTACATACAGCACAATGTAAATCACACAAATTGCACACTTGTTCAGAATATCTGACAGCTCTTATTGGACTAAATCTACAAGGTTTGTGAAATGAAATGTTAATTAGGCTAGATATTTAAAGATTTGTTTAAATGAAATAAATGCGTACTTGTTGAATGCTGATGTTAAATGAAAAAGAATTATGATGTTTGCCTTTCTGTTACCAATACTATAAAAGCAAACACTAAAACACCTTTTCGTATATAGTTTACTTTCTTTGTTTAACAGTTCTATCTATCATATCTATTAGACAAAACTGTTAAACAGGTCATCACTAAGGAAGACTGACAATGGGAGCGCTAGCGTTCTCAGCATCGTCAAAATAAAAGTCCCGCTTCCGACACATCGGCCAAACAGAAGAAATTATTGGCTGATTGTAATATTTAAAATATGCCAAATATTGGCTGATAAATGTAAAAAAAAAAATGTAACAGGCCTAAAAAGAACAAATAAGCCCACGCGAAATTTAAAAAATAATTAAATTGATAAGTAACTCATTGGCTTATTACTTGTGTGAGAGCTTTATTTATTTATTATTCATTGTGGTCATGATTGACAGTACCTTTTTAGTTGTTGTCATTTGTTCCTTACTTTTATTATATTTACCCAATTTTATTTAATGTCTAAAGATTGTATATTGAATTTACATTCCTTGCCTTTTCATTTGGTTGATGTTGATGGTAATATTATTACCTCTGTTATTTGTTGCCCCCTGGAAGGTGTTGCTGAATTCGTAAAGCAGGCTGGTGTCTATTGCATTATTGAAATGTGATCTTACTGGTCAAGTTGAGAAACCAACAATCAAGCCATAGAAAGTGATTATCCACCGATTACAATCAGCTGAGCATCCCTCATATGCCGTTATGTCTGATACTTAGAAATGAATGAATGGAATGTGTTGTTTCACTGAAATGACCAGTATTGTTTTCTTCATCACGTGTTTAACAGGAATCTCCTCTGTCCCATTTCTCATCAACAGACACGCGTCATGGAGGGAGCCAGTCAATCCGTACTACGTGAACACCGGCTATGCGCTGGCTCCTGCCACCAGTGCCAATGACAGCGAGCAGCAGAGCATGTCCAGTGATGCAGACACTCTCTCCCTGACCGACAGCAGTGTGTACGTACACATCTATACACACACAAATACACACAGATCCATTCTCACCACCGCAAGCTCGCGGAACATTCCATCCGAGAGCTTAGAGCGATTCAATGTCACCACGCCGTCCCGAGTCAGTTTAGCAGGATTTTCCTCCAAGAAACTTGCAGCCAGTTCTGCAGAAGCCCAGATATTTCGGCCATCGAAACGGAAGATGCGCAGACAAAGCTCGATGTAACGTCATTGGCAGCTGTTAGTGGAGGCTGGTCTCAGAGCAGTGTCTCGTGCATGCAGAATCAGTGCCATTTTCCCCCAGCTCTGCTCTGGGAACAGAAACAAATCTGCTCTCCTCTGAGGAGGACCATCTGCTCATTATCCACACCAATGAAAGCTTCTAAATGTCATTACTTATGCTAATTATAGAGCTTCAAATTGGGAGGTATGAGGCGCTGCAGGCTGTAATTTGAAGGCATTGGCTTGTTTTCCTTCAAATTAACTTTCCCTGAAAACAAAGGAAATGGCCTTCACGCTGTACCCTACACAAGCAGGTTACAGAAGGGAACAGGAAATGAAATATTGAAAACAAACAAGGTCTGAAAATAAGAGCTCATAAAATAATAAACAGTGCTTTGGCCTTAGGTGTTATCAAATTTGTCTCATTTCATGGCTACCGAAATATTTTTGGCTTCATGCAATTAAATGCCTGACACGAGGACGTGGTCTGCTGGAGAAAATATTGCGATATGAAATGATTTTCCCTCCATTTACGTGAAAGCGGTAATCAATGTAAAGCTTTTAAACTCTAATGCAACCAATTCTCATTCCCTGTCAAGCTGCAGTCGCAATTTTAGCAAAATTTAGAGGGTGAAAAGTAGGGTTGTGTTGATAGTATCGTGTATCGACGATATTCATAGATATCGCTGATGGCTGATGCCTTTGACGATATCAATACGATAATTGGCTTGTTTTCCCATTTAAATTATTATTATTATAAGGCTATATTAGGACCTCCAATTAATTTGCCTTATGAGAACTCAAAGAAAATGTTTTTAAAACAGACTACAAAACTAGCCTACATCAAAATTGATTTGCAAGGTGATCCATTCAGAAATTGTCAAAAGTGCTTGTTATAACAGACGCATCATTCTTAAAGGCTACAGTTATTTGAGTCAAGATGAAAATGGCATTGTTGTTCGTCAGCATTTTGTTTCCATAGCACATTAACAAAACATTTAATGACACTAATAACACTAAAAACAAAACGATTACAAAATATTATTAATAATATCACAAAAATTATATAGACCTAATAACAGTCTTTAGTTCACAAACACATCACAAATCTGCCATCTGTGAAAATCGAAAGCAGCGTCAAACACTTAAAAAAACAACTTGTTTAACAAGAAATATTAATTTTTTTCACAATCATTAATATAGTTCCACAAGAGAAATATTAAGCCAGTAAATTAAGAAAGTTGCTATACCGTCTTAACCAGATTAACCCCTTTTCCTTTATCGGAGTCAAGTTAAGTTTAAGTATAAACCGATCGACTCGGCTAGATTTATGCCCCTTACCCTGGTTTCTCCCGGCATGTAAAACACATTAACCAGCGTTCTTTGGGCTTATTAGAAATTCACTTATGTGATAGGCTATTTGACAGGAAAGCATCCTTACTGTGAATTTACATGCATCCAGACAGAGAGCACTGGTAGGAGGACATAGCCTATATCGCAGATTCCGACTCTTTCTTGACCCAAGAAATTATAAAAATGTGTTTTTATCTCGTGCAGAAGTACTGTCAAAAAGCTGCATCTGTAACGGCATGAGAGGATAATATGTGTCCGTAAATTTCCCGCTGACATGTTGAAATATCAGTTTTAAATGCTTTATTTAACATCACAACAGACATAATAAATTGAATAGCCTACTCGGAGTCAGATACAAGAATGATTAGGATATTTTTTGGTTGGAACTACAGCTCTCACCTGTGGTTAGAAGCATAGTTTCTGGTAAGTATGACGTTAACTTATACAGATCATGTTCTTAGTAAAATAAGCAAGCTAACATGCTGTGTAGTACAGGGTTCAAATCTGGACTCTGACCAGGCCAAAACATGAGCCAGATGGACTTGTTTTCAAGCCACTTCTTGGTTGTCTTTGCCATTTAGGCCGGAGCGTTTTCTTGATGAAAAAATAACATCTGATCATTCCTCTTTAGATCACAACTTTTCATTTGTGGGAAACAAGCCATCCTGCAGTATTCTCCTGTACTCCAAAGCATTAAATGACTTTTGACAGTGAAGTATCTCACCAATACCAGCAGCTAAAAAGGCTCCCCACACAACGACACTCTTCCTCCATGCTTCACTGTGCTAGAGATTCATTTATTATTGAATTTCTCTCCAGATTTTCAAAGACAACGCTCTGGAGCATCACAATGCAACATGTGCTTCATTGTGATTCCTCACTCAATCAACTTCCCATATTCTGCCAGAACTTAATTCTGACTTTGATGTTTTTCTGAGACGGCAACGGCTGTTAAAATAGTGCATTTGCTTAAATTATTACCAATTTCCTGACCAATAATCTGTGGTTAAGACTTAAAAGCTTAGTGTTTAGCCAGTGTTTTTGCCCAGGAGTGTATATACAAATTTAATTTTACGTCTTTTATTTTGTCAAAATAATTAAAGTGTTGTAAAGTGCTTGACGTCATCAACAACAGTTCTAACAAACGTGGTTCCAACGAGGATATGCAACAAAGTTACTATGGTTTTGGGAAACAGTTGTGACTGGCTAGTTAGTTTCTCCAATGATGCATCGTACCATGGTAGTTAAGAAGAGAGTTGCATCGTTGTTTGGGAAACGCACCCCAGGTCAATGAATCCAGATGACCAACTTGAACCCATGGGAAAATCTTTCACCTGGAATTCCCATTCATGTGGAAATTTACTAGATTTTGCCCTCAAAATTTGCCGGATAATGGTAAATGTTACCATACCTTCAGACTGTCGTTTAGCGGAATCCTACATTTTCGTTCTGGATGTTCGTTTCGGGAGGGTTTCGACTGGAGAGGCAGCAACAGGGAGTGTGCCGAGTTCAGAGATGGTTGTTATACAAATGTTATACAAAAAAACACATTAAAGGCACATCAGGGCAAAAACATGTGTCTGAAGTGGGCTAGATTAGAGGCCATTATCAGCTGTCTGCCAGGCAGAGATGCAGGGGGGTCCGCAGCAGGACCCGGGGGGATTAAAGACTCCCTGTGCATGTGTCAATGAAGGACCCCAAACATGCTCTGCTCTGAAGCGGTTGCTGCCACTGCCCCAGGGATTCAGTTAGATGGGAGGAGGAGGACGCTTTGGCATTTTCAGTCCCACAACAAAAACGCAAACACCTGCAATCACTTTAGCTTTGCAGTCTGAGGTCTGTTCTCACACAAGGACTGTCTTGTATGCACATATTTGTTGTTACGAATCAACAGCATCATTTTGTTCCCTGTAGAACTGACATTTCTTTATAAGTCACACATGCTAGTGAGGTAACATTTTGTATTTAGCAAGCACAGTTGATGTGCTGCACTCATTTTTCATCACAAGTTTACTTACCATCACAAAATACACAAGGATGAAGCTTTCACCAAATGCCAACTGACATATTATGGAGATTAGTCAAACGATACTACCGGTACTGTTGTTCAGAAATGAAGATTGTCGGTGCTTACCCAATGTGATTACTCATGTGATTCCACATCTGTATGACTTTCTGTGTTATTTGGAACAGACTTTTTTTTGCCAAATGTCTGAGCTGCCCTCTTTTGTACAATGACAGTGATTGGGGACCAGGTACTTTCACTCACGCCTCCAAAAGGGCAAAAAAAGTTCCTAAGGCTTCTGAAATCATATTTTCTAAAGTGCTTTAAACAGACTAAAATATTCACTGAAATTTAGATTTGTACAGCCATGGTCCCCATTTACTTTCACTTAGGGGCAGAGGCGGCGCCAGGGGGGGTCTTGGGGGGTCTCAAGACCCTCCCAAAAAATGCTTTGACCCCCCACCCCCTTCCTGATTAAAAAAAATATATATCCGGGATAAATATTTAAAAATGTTTATCTTCAAACTACGCGGAACAATAATAATTAATAATTTATTCGACGTACAAAATATATAAACATAAGAATCACGTTCCCTCTAAGCTGCGCGCGTGCGCGGTCGTGCACTTCTGATGCCGCGGCCGCGCAGAAAAGAATAATATGCCACGCACATGACTGACGCGAAATGTGTGGGGAAATCCATTTGATTGTATGTGAGAAATAATTGCAGTGCTCAAACTGGTGAGTGCAGTTAACAGGTTTCCAAGAAAGAGAATGATGTGAGCGCGTGTGATTGGCAGTGAGTCGTGTGTGCGGACCAAATAGCTCAATACGAGAGGCGACGAGAAACGCAAAGACATGTGAAATAAAATCACAATATCATGTTTTAAAGAAGAGTGGTTTGATTAAAGTGGTGGAAATAACGGATGATGGACACAGAACGGTAACAATTACACACACCCACCCACGTGCAAACTCAAAATACATCATTAGTTTACATAGATTTAAATAGTTTCAGGCATGGTTAGATTAGGCTACTATAAAAGAGTTCACATATTGACTTTTCTTGAAAATATTTAGCTATTAGATCTAGCTATTTACAGTAAATGCTTCAGTTTGTTTTCATATTATAATAATATTATATGAAAACAAATTGAAGCATTTAAACTATCACTTCAAATACTTCAATTCATTGTTTTTATATTATATTATATTGGGCATATATTGTATTATATTATAAGCCTAAATAAAGAATCTCACAAGGGTATTGTTTAGGGCTCATTGCCATTAAAAAGTTTGAAACCCCCTGCTAAAGAAAATATAGGCTAGGAAATTCATAAGCTATAAACAATCATTTAACTTTGATGGTTTAATGCTGCCTGTACAATTAATTGACTTTACAAAAACACTTTATGGTTTTCCTAAACC